ATATACCCGGGCTGTTTGAAAATGTGCGAACAAAATCGAGAGCTCTAATACATACTACATATTTATATTCAGTGGCTGTAAGTTGGTTGTGCATTAAGTAGAGGAATAATACTTTTAATTCAATTGGGTTTCACAAGCTATCGTAACCTGCCATATTGTCATAGTGTCATACCATGACGCTATAATAAAAGCTCGTTTCGACGACTCCTTAGCGCAAGGTTGTATTTTGGTGCTTACGGGGCACGATAGAAAGAGGAAGAACGGAAGCCCGTGAATGCTTTTGGATTGACTATCATTGACGATGATTTCATGGGATTGGGATAGAGTAACCCTTCTTTCAAAGTTTGTGTACATTGAATTCATGTTCATCTAGCTCTAAATCGAGCGAAACTTTAAACTTTAGGCTTAAATTCAGTATTTGCAATATTATTGTCATTGTCGTCAAAGGAATTCTGATTGTCTTCAAAGGTTTGGTGAGCGGACTAGATAAATCAATGATAATAACATTTTCATGACTCTGAAACAGAAATGATACAAACATGAGCTTTGTTTTTATATTTAACGTTTTAAATTACTTTGTCGGATTAAAACTATACCACAAAAATTGTTTTAAAAAGTGTGCGACTTTTTTGTGTGTGTGTGTTTTTGTTTTGAAATGTATGTTTGCACTAGTTTTCACCAGTTGATCTACAATTGAACTTTAAAGTAATATGTACCTCAGGGGTCCTTATCACGAATTTAAGGAAAAATTCCTAAAGGGCTAACATTTTGAAACTTATGACTTTATGGCAATATGACTGTTATGACACTTCGTAAATTCCCTATATATATCTACATTTGTATGTACCCGAGGGTGGTCCAAAATATGTAAATTTCGATTCTTACTGCTCTCACCCCCTATGATTGCTCTTCAGGAGACTTCCAATAACAATCAATACCCAATTTTTTATTTAACCATTTTTTAATACTAAAGATTTTTTGATCTGCATTTCTGGCATTTCTGGGGGTTTTGCCGGACCTATAAAATATACTTACTATGAAACAATTGCTAAATAAATAATTGGGTATTATTATTGGGAGTCAACTGAAGAGAAACAAAGTTTTCCGATCGAAAAATATTGATTTTCAAGAATTCTATGTATACATGGAAAATTTTGAGCGCTTTGAGCGACCTCCAAATATTTTTTGATTTCAAAATAATAAACAGGGGTATATTTTTTCGGTATAGAACAATCCTAGCGGGTGAGA